GTTACACAGAAAGAAAACTGCAGAAGACAGCGCAAGATATAACGACCTCGCCCCAAATGGCTGGTTTATGACGAGATTGGCACCAACACAGCCCTTTGGGGTGTTTCGGACTTATTGACAACTAGCCTCATTGAAGGTTTGTAATGATGAGAGCAGGGCGTTGGGATGTCTGAGATTATAAGGGGGTTTCCCGAAAGTAGTACCTTTCTGGGGACACCCGCATAATGAAGGTTGAAGTATTTGGGGATCTTATAGGGGCCCCCCCATTTTGGGAAGCTACCATGTCCTCGCTTAATTCCACAACGGCTGATTGGGAAGATTCTCTCAATCATTCAGGCTTCTAGATGGCCTAAGCTACCTATGCCCTGAAAACCTAAATCTCAGAGGACCCTAAGTGCCCCATCCCTTGAGACCCAAAATCCAAGAATCCTAGGCCCCAAGACCTGTGAATCCTAAACCCTAAATATCCGAAACACTACAACCCCTTAACCCCTGAATCCAACAACGCCCAATCCCTAAACCTCAAGACTGCAGCGTGTTTTTTCTGGAGGGGTCCCTGTCAACCCTGCACAAAAGGCGGACGCTCCCATAGCTAGAGACGGGAATGCCGTAGAATTAGCGGACCTTGCTTGAGTTTGGGGTTTCAAGTTTCAGGGCTAAGGTCTGTAGAGTTTAGATCTCTTGGAAAGCAAGGATCCCGGCATTTTACCAACCATGTGGGAGTTTCTCCAAATGTTCCCTATGTAAGGTAGGATGTTAACATGGTGTTGGTGAGTATATACAGGATTCCTTAGGAGGATTGGCGGGCGTAGTACACGCACTGTGTCCCTTTTAAGAAGGAGTCCGCCGCATACAATCCTTAATAGTCACCCCCTATTACACCTATGTAACCTATATAGATACATATATATATATAATGTGCATATGCTTACAGTCTCTGGTGTTGCCGCTTTGGAGAAACCCCACAAAGTGCGTTCGCAGCTTGTACAGCAGCTTACCCCACAGAAGACGCCAGAAATCTGGAACATGAGTATCCCCCAAGCATCAGATATGGAAAGAGAGAAAGACGGCACAAGTCATCCAAGTTCCATGTTCCAATGCTTTGGCAATATACCTTTGTGCATTGCTGCCAATCCGTACTTCCCCATTGGAAACAGACTCAGCTAGCAGCACTAGTGTATTGCTAGCTGAAAACCTGATAAAATCATGTTTTTCAGGACAAGTACTCGGGGGCGGTTCTCAGCAGAGTGTTCTTGACCTATTTGAGCACCTGTCCTCCCCAATTCCACCAAAGGGAGAAGTGTCTCATTGAGAGTCCGTTCTCACCGAGAACCGGGAAATTGGTTGTCGACGAACGCTCTCAGTGAACTGCCACGATAAGACAAGTACAACTTCCAACTGAAATAAGATTGAGAATGTGTTGCGGCGTTGAGCGTTATCCTGCTTTGTCAGCCTTGTTGGAAGGGTCCTTTCGGACTTTGGGAGGGGGGGTGCTTGACAAGCCCACATGAGTTGCTGCCGCTGTCTGCGAGAAGGCCTTGAAAGCTCGCATGCGCGGAGTTGCAACTTGTTCCAGCAATGTTTCAACAAGAGCTGCGAATGCCACAGCCAACATTGCATTCCTCACTCTTGAGTTCAGCCCGTAGCTGACTCAGTGTGCGGGGTTCAGGGTTGGCTGGTTTTGTTCGACAGCATTCTGGACCGACAGCAGGTCAACACACCTGCTTGACTCCTAAAGCGAAGCAGACTTGGACACAATTCTCATATGCGGGGTTGTCCACATTATGGTCGTTTCTTGGACACCCTATATATTAGGGGTCATACTTTAGGGCCTCAAAAGGGACCATCCCACTGTCCAAGTTGTTCTCGCGAGGGCGAGCCTTGCTCCTCCTTAGGACGGTATGATTACGCGTGTGGTGATCCTGTATTCGCAAAAAGGCTTGGGAGTTTACCAGCTGCTCTGGACAAAGGGAGTGTTCAGGTTGCTGTCCCCAAACTCTTCCCTCCCCATGCAATCTCATGTAAGCCACCCGCGCGCACAGTAGTTTTCAAACCTCGGGGAGGGTACTTTGTCAACGGCCGAAAGCCAGAACTCGTGAGCCTTGGCCTTGAAGTGGATGTAGCAAGCACGATAAAGAGGGCAGCGCCACAGCCAGGGTTCAGATTCTAGGGGTGTTGAGGTTTGGAGGTTTGGGATTTGAGGTGCAGTTCTGATGCCTTGATGCCCACTGCGTCGACCCTGCACTAAACCAGCTACAAACTAGGCCTGCAACACAAAGGATTGCCATCGTTCATTTCTTGGCCATCGTTTTGGGCATTTTTCCGAACGACTACCCGCTTCAGATGATTGATGTAGTTTTGGTATGGACGACCCCAAAAAGGTCGTTCCAATCCCTGTGTTTGGGAACTGTGGGGTTTGTGCCCACTACTAGTGGCTTCATATTGGAATATTGACTAGGCCAATACGCGTTATGTTCCTTTCTGGGCTTTAGTGTGAGAAAACCCGAAATCAATGTGCGAAAATGAGTTCAGGGTGGGGTGATCCCTTCAAGCTCAGGGTTCAATAGCCCGATTGCCAGTCGATAGGGGTCTACGTCCCTAAGAGTGACCTCCCAGTCTTGTAGGGTTTAGGGCTCAGGGGTTAGGGTAATGTTTAAAGAAGCCCCTGGAAATCTGTATGCCTACCCCTTTAGGCCTGCTAGCCTGCCCGACACACAGCCATTTGCTGCCTGCCAAGGGGATGGCAAGCTGTTGAGTTTCTTGAATGCTTGCTGGAGTTCAGGTTGAGGGCCTGGAGTCTCTTGTAATCATTATTTGCCGAGCGCTAGGTGGTTTCCCTCTTGCACGGTTAGCCAAACCCACTGTAATCAGCAGTGGTTTGTGCAGTTTGCACGTGTATGCCACTCTTCATGTCAGTCTCCTGGCAAGGTGAAAAGCACGCAAGGTGTGGGTCAAGAGCGACAGGTAGCCTACTTAGTAATCTCCAGTATTATCTAATCCGCACTAGTAGTCCTGAAGGCTCCTTGAAGTTCCCTAGTAGCTGTAACTGCTTAAGCCAACTTTCTTAAGGACCTTGTAATTGGAGTTTGCCACGGCTCTAAAGCTGACTCAGACCTTGAACCCCCCAACCAATGTTCCCGGGCGGAGTCCTAAATCATAGACCCTCAAACGTTCCCGAAAGAACCCTAAAAGCTGAAAGCCTTTACAGGATGTTTCCGAGTGAAGCCTTCAACCCACAAAGCTGAAAGGCCGTTCCCCCAAGAAATCCAAGCCTTATGTTCAGCCCCAAACGCAGTCCCAACACATGTACAAACATGGAAGCTGAGATGGCCCCTTGCAAAAGGACTGCAGTGTCTGCAGGACCTCTTCGAGAGTTACATGATCGTTCTAGGGAGCATAAGGGTGGGTGTATGTTAGTGATGTTCCTGCACGGGTATTCTTAATCTTCGACCCTTACAGAATAGTTTCTGGCTACCTACTACCTACACCCTAGTTGAGACACATGGCCTCCAATGCCTGAAACCTTCAGCCCTCGACCCTAAATTTCCTCCCAGGCTTAGGCGGCTCTGTAACCCTAAGCCCTGAATACTTAAATCCCAGACTCCTCAGCTTTTCTCCCTTAAACCCGGAGTTTCCAGATGATGTAAGCCGGTGTGAAAACCCCCGAATTCCCAGCTGTCGTGTTGTTACCCTGCTTACGATGTCTCGCCAAACCCTTGCCGAACCTTAAAATCCCTAAGCTCAAGATATCGTTCAACCTGCTAAAGTGAGCCTCATCGTCTCCCTTCACTACTGCTCCCTCCCCCTGCAAGTATAGGAACCCTAGGCCTCTTGAATATTATGATGCCTGGAGTTTTAAGTTGTAAAGGTTTGGGTTTAATGCGACTCGTGTATTTTAACAACGTACTGCGACATCATTCGGCCTCACGTATCCAGAAACCTGTCCCAAAATTGCTTTACGTCAGGGTTTGGCAGTATTGCACGTAAGTCACCTGGATAGTGACTTTCCCAGCTCTAATAATTCATTTGCCCCGCATGTACTGGTACTATATTTCATGAGGAACGTTTGTTGTTGAGAGTTGGACGAGTCAATTGAGGAACGTTTGTTGTTGAGAGGTGGACGAGTTAATTGTTCGGGGATGGGATTTATACCCGGAGCAAACCGGATATACGCTCGAAACGATCGTGTATAATTGCATGGACCATATCACTTGGTGATCCTTTAAAGGAGCCTCACGGAAATCCTAAGTTTGCTATGACATAGAACGCCGATGTACAGCACGCCCATGTACCCCCACACAGTTTACCCTTCCCGTATAACTCCTGAGAAGCCCTGTCTAACCCTTATACAATGTTTGTAGAAGTCTTCCGGAACCCCCCCCCCCAATATCCTTACGCTTACATCACACTCAAGCAATCCCTGTCGAACTTTTCCCCGCGTACTAAAACACATCTCGCATTCCAGAGCAAATGTATACTGGCAGTAAACTCGGGACATGCATGCAGAGGAAGGTATGACGGAAGACCCAACACCGAAGCTTTGAAGCCTAACACGTAAACCCTAGCTTGGCCCAAGGGAAAAACACCTAAGCCACAAGCATCAAGCCTTCATGTAGAAGCTTCCGAAATTAACCCTATACCCTCATTCTCATGGAATTAAAGTATGATATACGCCGGTACCCTATTCCTATTCTGTAGGACAACCTTTGGACCGGAACCAAAAAAACCAACACCCGAAAACTCAAGCTTCAAACCCTCAGCTCCAAACTCATTTTCAAAAACCCTATGCCCTCAAGCTTTGACCTTCCAGCTTGGCCTCAAACCCTACCCGCCCTAGACTATCAGCCTTTGGCTACACCCAAAGCCTTAAGCGCCAAACTTGAAACCATAGACCTTATACTTACCCCAAACCTTGAACCCCATATACTCCTAATCCCCTGTAGAATCCCTTTAATTATGTTCTCCGTATATCTCTACTAACTGTCCCGCCTTTCCTCGAGGCGGTGCGCGCCGCCAAGGACGCAGCGGTCACCGTGGCCTCGCGCGCACCAGCACCGCCACGGCGCACAAAGCTTCCTTGTTGGGATATACGGTTTGGGGTTTGGGGTTTCGGGCTTGGGGTTTGTGGCTTAAGTTTGAGGGTTAGGGTTTGGGATTTAGCGTCCTGGCTGTTAGTACGGATAAAAGAGTGGTACAGGGTTTGGGTATATAGGATCCGTTTCAAGGGGCTATAGGCTCTAGGGTGGTGGGTTTCTATGGCAAAGGTAGGGATTTGAGGAGTGGAAGGAGAGAATGAAAGCTGCTATGGGGTCATTTAGGGATAGGTTAGGAATATAAGGGGATGTAGGGTTCCGTTTAAAGGGGTTCTACAAAGAACATATGTTGTTAGCACGGAAAAGATAACAATATGCAGGGGTCCCTTTGAAGGGTTTCTGGGCAAAGAAATGGAAGCTACAACAGGGTCATATAGGGATCTATGGGCCGCTTTCAAGGGATTAGGGGCACAGGGTGTAGGGGATGTAGTTGGCAGGGAATATGATGGGACACCTTTGAACGGGCGATGTGGGGGACATCGAGGGTTTTTGTGGCTGGCAGAGCTCGCATGCAAAAAGGAGTATACGAGGTTTCGATTGGGTGTTGAGTCCAGCCCCCGCATGATTTGATTCCGTCCCTGATTTCCAGCCAGCCCAGGACTCTCAAAAGCATGAACAGTCACAGGGCTCGTTGCTCAGGCCTCGGAGGTGCCTTTTGCCTAGATGTCACCATGTTTGATGTTGCAAGTTGCAAAAGTACCAACAGTGAGAGGGACAGTGGGTGCCCTGGTCACCATACATGCTTCTGTCAGTGTTTTTGATGTGGCAGATCTCACAAGTGCCAACAGTCAGAAGGATCGCGGGTGTCCTGGTCACGATCCAGGCAACAGTCAAAGGTTTTTGATATTGCATATTTCAAAAATACCAACCACAGGGATGGCGCATGCCCCACGGAGGGAAAGAGGAAACCACCCTCACCTTTGGGGGAGGGAGACCTCTTGAATGCTTTCAGCAAAAAAGCAGTGCTAACAGTTCTGAAAGGAAGCACACCCACCACACCACAGGCGCGCAGGTGGAAAGATCTGAATTAGTTGACTCATAGGAGAAATAGGAGAAATCAAACCCACCACTCCACAGGGCAGGAGGCAGAAGATGTGCTTGACAAGGTGAGAGTCAATTACCAGAATGTTGGCAGCTGTGGGACCATATGCCGCACCATATCATGGGGGGGGATGAACACGGGGGATTGGCCAGCACCGCACCCGATCCAGGGTCATACAGAGATGTATAGGGTTCCTTTCAAGGGGTTGTGCGGGTATAGGATTTAGGGAAGAGCGGGAAAGAAGATGCAAATTAAATGGAAACCGGGTGCTTCTGGGAATACAGGGGTTCAGGCTGGTTGTCGGTAAGGAATAGACAGAAGGCCGCATTCTACATTATTGGATAGGGCCACCAAAGTCAACAACTTACTACCAACAAGAAGTGTGTGATAGGAGTTCACGAACCCAAAGGCAGAGACGCGACACGGCGTAGAGTACACGCGTGACAAATGACACGATTGGCGGCTCTCCTAGAACTTTTTCCTGCCTCCAAAACCTGTCCAAGGATCCTCTGAGATACTCTAAAACCCTTTCCAAGGCACCTTTCTAAAGGAATCTAAAACCTTATTTAAAAGCTCTCCGCACTCCACTCCACTCTCCGCACAACATCCGTTTCACCCGCCGCTCTCAACTCCGCTTTCCGCCGCACTTTCCACTCCACTTTCCAGTCCACTCACTCCACTCTCCAGACTGCTTTCCATGCCACTCTCCTCCATTCTCCACGGTCCACTTCGCTCTCCACCTCATTCTCCACCCGCCGTTCTCCACCTCCACTCTCCACCCCACTCGCCATTTCACCTTCCACTCCACTTAAGAGGATAGAGATTTTATGTAAGGGTCCTTTGCGAAGGGGGTATTGTGTTTGTGTAGCCAGGTGAGCACATAGAGGGCTTTCAAAGGATTAGAGGTCCCCAGTCGGGGGCCCACAAACTATCCAAACTATACATACGTCTGCTGTTTGATGGTCCTATGGGCTTGAATGAAGTTAGTGGGGCTGTGGGTTGAGGTCGCAGAATTCGTGATATGAGTTTCCTTCCTGCTCGGGAAAGGACACCCAAAGTCAAGAAGCCGAGTTGCCCTACACACTGGCGAACCGGCTTTCATGTACGGATTCCCATTAAAAAAAAGATCTGCTTGTCACATACCATTCTGTCCTCTCTGCTCTAGGGGCTTTCCGGATCCAAGCTGATCGCTCTCGGTTAACGTTAAACATCCCCATCTATCCCGTAATGTTCAATGTGTCCCAACTCATTTGGGCGCCTATAGGGGATATTTGGAATTAAAAGGTGAGGGGGCAAAAAATCGAGGAGCGATTGGTGCCCTCGGAGACCAGATGTGCATTCACTCTGTTGTTGCTGGAAGGGGAAGCGTCTCTGAGTTCTAAGCCCTTTGCTTCTCACCTTTGTGCTTCACTGCTTTTATGAGAGCTTGGTTTTTGTATTTTTGATTGTCGCTTTATCTCCTTGGTATCTGATTAGGTCCAAACCCTAAAACCGAAAATGACGGATCACGAGCTTGCATTGATGGCAGGCAGTTGCCGTGCCTGAATACTGGGGGAGAGAGCCGCAAGGCTGTAGAAGCTTGGCTGCCAGACTACTCACTTCTCCCTAAGCCCCGACACGCCTAAAGATGGACATGTTCCAGCATCATAAAGTCAGATTCGCCCAAAGGTTAGCAGGTACACTTGTTACTAGAGGATGAGGGATTCTACCATTCGGTGAGGGTGATTGCAAACCCGGGAATCACATCCCCAGACTTTTGGGGTGGTTTGCATCATCGACATGGAGGCCAAGAAGTCTGACAGGAGCATGGATGACGGAGTTATCAAGACAGTCGGTGAGATCATCAGATATGAAGAGATCGGCGAGGAGCTCCTTGATCAGAGGCTCGCTGAGGTTCCTGTCCAAGACCCAGTGGGCCCAATATCGCTTTGCTTAGTTAAGCAATATAGATGAGACTAGGATCCGCGTTCTGATTTAAGATTCCTGAAACTATCGGGATCCTCCAAAACACGAAACACCCAGAGACTGAGGGCCTCATTGCTTCGGATGAGCAAGGTCCAAGGCACAGCCTGAAGCTCTGAGAACTGCAGGAGCCCTATGCCCCGTAACAATATATCTTGAATCATATGAAGTTATTAGTGCAGTGAAAATTCCTTACGTTGTATTGGGGTCTCTGGGAACTGGAAATCTTTCTGCCCTTCTCTGACTTTTCATCCTCCTCACGTTGGCCACTGTTGGCGCCTTTCTCGGGCAGTCTCCTGATGCTGAGGAGTGATCGGTATATGTGAGACACAAGGATGCGTGTGATGTATAGGGTTTAGTTTACCCTCCTGAACTAACATGGGTATTTCCAAAATGGGGCCTCAGTGAGAAAGTTCTTTGCGGCACAAAACATGTAAGAGTTTTGTTGGGCTGTGCTGTGCGGCACGGCATACTGTGGTCGACATCAGCAATCCTTTTATGAACACCTTTGGGAATCCCTTCTCCATAGCTAGCTTCCCCATCATTCGAGATTGGTTGACTGGTCATGCTGTCCGAAGCAGGGCATGCCCAACAATATTGGAACGGGGCTGCTTGCTTGAAGGGTTCAAGACTTGGGCGAGGCTGGAGGGCTTAAGATTTGGAAAAGACTTGGGCCTTAGGTTTATGTGTTTGGGGTTTCAGCTGTTTAGGGTTTCGAGGTTTTGGTGTCTCTGATTAGTTGCAACTATCTTTTTAACGCTGCTCCATGGCAACCACAAGAATACAATAATGGTACTATAGTGAGGGGGCAACCTTAGTCCATAATGGGTCTGGGGAACTATTTGCGCTTCCTGCGATCCTCCCAAGTACGAAGAAGGCCGTCAAAAGGGAGGCGGCATGCTGCTACAAACTAGGGATCCGTAGGAAAATATTTTGAGATCATCAGAGTGCCGACTAAGCGCGAGTGGTAATGTTGAGCAACTCTCGTTTCTCCGAATCAAAGCAGCCATTATAGTCACACTCTCCTAATGCTGAATCCGCCTAACACTACTTCCTACCCAGGCTTGCTACTGGGAGGTGGCTAGTAATGACTCAGTTCACAAGTAGGGCAAAGAGGGAGGCTCAATGATGGGATGTCCTAAGATCCTACCTTCTTTAAAGTTAAAAGGTTTAGCGGAGCCAAAGGACAGTAGCCTTAATGGTACCTGACGGCCAGGTTCCAGGTTAGTTTGTGGGAGCGCAAATGTCTGAACACTTTATATTGCATAGTCCCTGTACGTGAATCCTCGTAGGTTCCGATCGCTCAACCCAGACAGCCACCCAAGAAAAGATACATGCTGGATATTTCTCAGAGTGTTTCTTATAATCCCCAACCAGCACCCATGTTTTCTCGTGAAAGCTCATACATCTCTACGGTCCCTCAAGCACCCAGTTGTGGAGAAACTCCCAAGTCCCTACCCTAGGAAATCCTAATCGCCAGACCCTAAACACTCAACCAAAGGACTACCCTTCCCGACCTGACATGGAAACCAAAAAAGAGTCCTGTCAGAGGTCTCAGGATAGTTCATTGGACGGTAAACCCAGAGTATGACCAGGGAGCCCAATGCCCATACAAAAGGAATGTGCCCTAAAATCGTATCAAGGATCATCATGTGATGCAGGTATATTCCACAAGTGAATTCGTTCTGCCCTACCTGAAACCCTAACACTAAGCCCCGAATGATGTCAAGAGGTTTCCGTGTTTGTTCCATTTCCACACTTTGGGCTCGTGGTGCCTCCAAGGAGTCTCCAGGGCCCAGCACTGGAAGCGCGGTTCGCGCTGTCAGGCAAACGACACCGTGGAAATCCGGGCTTGCTCTGGGTGTAGGAGTTTAGGCTCCAGCGTCAAGGGTTGGAGCCTTACTGGTCAAAGTCTAGGGTCTAAGGTTTAGGGTTCAGAGTGTAAGCTCTGCGGTCCACAACCCCGGTGCTTACACATGTATACCTCAACTCACATTTGGCTGTGTGAAAAATTGGTGCGCCTCATATCTACTAGACCCGGGTTCTACAGCATATTGGGGTTACAAAATGCTCCGAGATTTCCTGCGGGGTTTTGGGCTTGTCTTTGGGTTCTTGAAACTATGCAGGTTCCTATTGATGGTTTTTTGCAGACATTGGTTGTCAGGAATCAAGAGCTTGACAGCTTAAAGAACCCATTCGCTGCACCAGCATGGGACTTGTCGAAAGCATGTCTTTGGTCGTAGCTGCGCGGCTTCTAAGTGTTGGATGGAACACTATCGATGGGTGCTTAAAATGGTGGGGATCCCTTTCGTATAATGGCCAATACATCTAATCTCCATTGACAGCTCTATTGCTCTACCTATTGTCCTCCCCCACTCCCCGCCAAGCACCAGTAAGATATCGTTGCTGTGAAGGCTCAGAAGAACAATAGATGTCCACAAGGAGCTGGTGAGGTGTCTGTTGGCTATACCAATATTTCAAAACTGAATATTAGGAACCAGAAAAGTGTTTGGAGATGCCATTCCCAGGATCGGAGATCAAAAACGCATGGTCAAATACGCTGACCACCTCACATTTCGGCGAGTGTAGACTCTGCCGTTTGTATTCCCGCCACCATGCACCAAGAAGCAGCATATCTTGAAGCTATCACTATCCTGTACCCCGGAGCTCTTTTTTAGTTCTTGCTTGCCTGACCAGATGCGCGATCCTTAACAATAGCTGGATGCCCGAAGCAAAGCGGCAGAAACAAACGTAGACAGAAGTTGTCGTGATGGGTCTAAAAAGGATCCCATATACTTAGATGTTTCAGTTGGCTGCAGAGGACTGACCAAAACTTTGAACCGCGTGAACCTAGACGCCATCTGTATAGGCAGCTCCGGAACTCGCACCCAGGCCGAGCTGCCGATAAAATCGGCAGGGTTCTTTTGCGCGGGGTAAGGTTCATATAAAGGTTACATGAAGGTTGTACCCGAATTCGTGGGTTTTTGTGGTTCAGAGTTTCAAAAAATTGCGGCCCATGTCGGGGAGTCCTGCATCATACAGGTTATGACATAGTTGGGTGGTCGAAAATTGGGGTTGTTGGGTTGGGTAGGGTAGCTTACACTCCCTGTAAAGCATCTTGAGATCAGGACTGAATGTTCAGGGGCTCAGCTTCAAGCTTTGGAGTGTTGGAAGCTTGGGGTTGGTAATGTTCAGCACGGGGGGGTAAGCCTAAGCTTCTGGGGTTCACAGATAAGCCTGGCATCTTCAATGCCCCAGGTTTAATGTTTGGCCCATCTGGACCTCTTTTCAAAGCACATCAGTTTGCAAAGGCTCCGTCTCGGGCTTCCATATTGGCTTCGGTGCGTGTAGTCTTGCCTAGTCCAGTCCTGGTGCTCCATCATGCTTTGTTGAGGTCATCTTGCATCACAAGCACAAACCTGAGCGCTCCCCACGCCACCCTACAGCCTCCGAGTTGAGATGGGCATTAGCAATTACGCACCCCAAGTTTTGGACCTGAACCCCAACCCCCGCCGGCCAACAAAACTTTCTCCTCTCCCCACCAATACCAAGCGTTTCTAGCAAGGGACTTACAGGCCATTCCATGGCGTTAGAACAGCTGGTTGAATATTCCGGGGCAGGGATGAGGCTGAAAAAGTCATGGGAACTTCACTAACATATGAGTTCTTGCTTGCGCGTTCCATAATGAACAAGCGTCTGGTATGCGTCTGGACCCCTTTTTCAAGGAATATCCTGCCTTCTCGCCAGGGTACATCCAGCCCACTGCCAGTTCCGCTGCAAGGCTGGCAGCCCAAAAGAAAATTCCCTCCCCCTCAGAATACGTCACCCCACCGCCCCTAATAATGAATGTTATTGATATCATTTATTGTAAGTGGGGTGGGGGGAAATGCTAAGGGCAGGGGCGAGGTTTGGGGCATATGGCATTGGAGGACAGAATGACCGTGAAGAGTAGCCTGCATCCGTGCTTCCCTGCAAGCTTCGGGAAGTTTGCGACTCGCACAGTCTTCCCTAGATGTACCCTAGAAGGTCAGTGTGGACCCGTTCACGAGCCAGGGCAAGTCTGCAAACAAGTATTGCGTACATTTTTGGAGGACCCCCGCCCCTGTAATAGTGAGCACAAACAGAAGCACCAAAAAGAGCACCAGCAAAATGCTGGAAAATGGCAACATGCATGATCAGACCGCACCCTAAAGCCTTCACCCCTGAACTTGCTGTCCTCTCCTGAAACCCTGTGCCCCTACGCTGAGCTTGCAAACTTTCTCTACAGTCTCGCCTCCAGCAGCATCAAATTCAGGAGCGCAATGATTGAACAGATTGGAAAAAATTGAACCGTTTTCTGGCAAGCAGAGCTGGCCTGCGCAGCCAGCCAGCTGGGTTGGTTCTGGGCTGGGTTGGTCCAGTCCTTCTGGGCTGGTCCTGACCTGCTGGTCTTGGGTCTGGCTGGTTGGGCCGGGCTGGTCCTGGCTTGAGGTGGCGCTGACCTGCGCTAGTCCTGGGCTGGTGGTCCGGCTGGTCCTGGGCTGAGCTGATCCTGGGCTCTCCTCATCGAAGTCGGCAACACAAACATCGGCTCCGACTCGGCTCTGACACCCTTGGATTTCCTGGTGCCATTTTTGATCCGATTGTTTTTTTTTTGTGCTTTTCTGGTGCTATT